GATACCGTACCGTATACCCACAAAAAATTTTGGGGCCCGGATACTGGAATAGCGCCAAATTTTCTTTATAACAAGCATAAAATGGCAAACCATATGTTGCATATACTGAGAGAATTTTAATTGTTTGACAAATATCAAACGAGTGTCACAGTAGAACCTTGATGTATGCTTGTGTGCTTGCAACATCTAAACTATCTAGGTCATAGCAGCCGTTAATGTGTTGAAGTGTACTAGTAATATCCCACTAAATGTTAAAATCCTCTAGCCTTTCATCGTCACTCCAATTTGACTATGCAGTTGTTCAGATCACAGGTGCGATAAGGTGAGAATGACTCCTCCAGGGTGAAGGGGGTCACAGTGGTCGCAGCCCCTCCAGGGTGAAGGGTGTTTTACTTGGTAGAGAAATTATAAAATGTCGACGGGGGGGGGGCATCATTTTTCCTATTCAAAGTTCATAATTTCCAATTTCTTACCATCACTGTTTGTCTTTTTTCTGAAATGTGAACCGATATGCTGCTTAATTAGCGCACAATTATATTTCTGACCAGCACCTTGTATTTTTTTACATTTCTTCTTCCCTCTTTTATATCGCCCTGCCTGTTTTTGAAATTACCATAGAAGATGTGCATGCGAGAACACTTGTTTCGGAAAAAGTTAGACAATTTCTAAGCATTTACGAATTTTTTCAAGAAATTCGTAATTTCTGTAGATGAAGAGCAATGTTAGCAAGGTAAATGTTTTTAAAACAACCTTGTCTTCCGCTTTTAGAGAATACATAGTTTGCCTGGAGTCTATTAAAAAAATGCCTGGTGAAGAGTGTGGGTAGTGATTTCCGAATATTTTCGAGTTTTTAACATAAAAAATTCATAACTTTTCTAGATGAACTTCTTATACGCCGTGATGGTCACCGCTGGAACCATCTCGTCCTCCGCTTTCAGAAAATACATACTTTGCCTGAAGTCCACGAGAAAAAGTGCCGGGTGAAGGGTGGGTGAGACTTTTATAATGGTAGTGCTCAAGTAACGTCTTTTTACAATGGTAAAAAAGCCTGTACTTGAGCACTCCCATTATAAAAGTCTCACCCCCCTTCACTAGGACTTTTTCTAACGGACCCCAGGCAAGGTATATATTTTCTAAAAGCGGAGGACAAGACGGTTCCAATGGTGACTATCTCGGCGTACGAGATGTTCATCTACAATAGTTATGAATTTTTTTATGTCAAAAACTCGAAAATCTCCAGAAATCACTAATCACACCCGTCACCAAGCACTTTTTTCAACAGACTCCTCCTTTCCTATACATGAACAATTCACGTACAAATATCTCCTTTGCTTAACCTTATCTCACTGTTGATTTTTTTCTCGGCTTTTGGTGAAGGGGGTCACCTTGGTCCCGGCTCAGGGGTGAAGAGGGGGTGAGAAAATTCTCACACTATCGCACCTGTGGTTGGTGGTGCAGTGGTGTAATATTAGTTGGCATTGAAGGCGAAAGGCCGATGGTTCGAATTCAGTGCAGAGTGTACCATCTTGCACTACGCGTATGAGTTTAGAAATCATTCTAATTCGTCTGCAGACACTTACTGTAATGCCCTTGGCAATGTGACTTAAGGAAAAAATTTTGTGGCAGAACCGCTTGCTTGTTGAGATTTGATTTTCTCCGCAAAAAATTCATGTGCAGAGATGAAGCGAAATTACAAAACACAAAATTGCAAAACACAGACATTTCCCACAACGGGAACAGCGTATGAAGAAAACCCCCGCGCAATTCTCATGCTCGCGAGTACCCATTAAGTTACTAGGGAACAATATTGGAGTGGCGTTTCAAATGAATTCAAAACCTTTCAAATAAATTCAATAAAACCGGATTCGAAGCATCGACCTTTTGCCTTTAATGCCAACAACTAACCATTACACCACTCCACCACCAACGCACGTAGCAGCGCCCTCAAACTCAAGGAGCGCCCCCAGACAGGATATTCAGGCTTCCATAACTCTCTTCAGAAAAGCGCTCCGCAGAAAATGAAAGCAGATCAGAAATCAGCGTTCGAAGCTGCTTCAGATGGTATGCATCTCATATCAGAAGGCCACGGCCGTTGAAAGTACTTCTTTTGTTAGTCTTTAGGTTTTTGAACGAAGATGACCTTCCGTGCGTGATCCCTACGGACGACTTTCCAACAAGATGGTGTTCCACCTATTTCAGGCTATGCGACTTTTTGAATGCAGTGAGTGTGCTAAGTGGTTCTGCTGATCCTGAAGGATGGTGAGATTGCGGCCATTGCTCAGTCATTAAGCTTTTTGAGTTTCCGATCTCCTGTTAAACGCTTTTCTGCTATCACATGTTAGCTTTCCATCTGAAGTGATGAAAGGTATGAGGATTGTTCAACTGGATTGGGGCTTTACGGCATCTTAGGTGAGCAGTAGCCGCAATTTCACCAAACTTCGCGATCACGCAGAGTTCAATGTCTTGATAACAAGTAATCATCGCTTTGAATTTTTCATCACTATGCCCGCAGTTGAAAAGCTGGTTACATCATTTGACTTACCCCGCTTGAGGATAGAGAGCTTCGCGTCCTAAAGGCAATGAGAACGTTTTTACAACCATACCAAGCTATGACCAGTCACTCAGATAATCGCCGGGGTCAAGCGGTCCGCAAACTCGCGCTTTTCTGCAGGCGGTCAGCAGAATTTTGGGGCCTGGCCAAACCTTCAGCGGGCGGCACTTCCTTTACGGTCGCATATTCTGCCAGCGGGCAACAATGCAGCATCTTCTGCAAGCGCTTTGCAAATAATTTCTTTCAGCAAGCGCTGGCTAAACTTTCAGCAAGCGCTAGAAATCTTAACGTAGTTTCAGGCATACTCCGAGTAAAGATAAGACTCTATGTAGCAGAGGTGTCATCGATGGTTTTAATTACTGAAGTTTGAAGTACCTTCTTTCAGCGGAAGGTACCTACGGGCTGTGCGGTCCTTCACAAAGGACCGTCCGGCCCTCAATATTTTTGCATATTCTCGCGAAAAGTCCGCGAGAATGCGGCCACTGCGCCGCAACTAATCTATAGAAAAACCACGATACTTCTCCGAGCATTTCTCTAAAAATTGGCCAACATTTTTTCAAATTTCTGCAAGCGACCGCATGAAATCAGCGATCTATTTTTCCGGTGCCCACTTGCTCAAAATTCGCATGGCCGCCTGCCCCGGCGATTATCTGACCAGGAAAGACCATGAATACGATATTATTGTGCAGCAGCCACTCGATCATAGGTCTGCTTTCAATGCTCATGTTGTTCTATGTACATTCTAGCTGGCAAGTTACTGATCGCGATCGCAAAAACCGAAGAGTAAGCATTAATTTATGAAATGCTGCAGAAAGACAAGTAAATTTTAGGAACTTGACGGCAGCACGGAAGATGCATTGCAATCCGGAGAAAAACTATTGGAGAAGACGAAGGAATATTTTGTAAAGTGTTTCCTTAGCTAGCCGTTACGTTTCGCATCTCTTTGCTATCCGAGGTATGCGTTTCTCGCAACAATTTTGACAAGAGACGAATGGAATGGAAGGAAACCATGGACCGTTTTTTAGCGACTAAGATTAAGTTATTTTTGATCTAAAAAATTTGAATTCTACAGATATTCATCGGAATTTCAGTGTATTCATTCACCCCAATGGAGTTTGTTGACGACGCTACTGAACGATCCAGCACTCCGAAAAGCACAGATGTATGGTCATTGCTTACTACGCAATACTAGAAGTTCCCAAATGCAGGAGGAGGATTTGCAGGTAGAAGAAGGTTTTTAGACAGTATGAACGTATGTAGATTCAGATGGAGTTGCAGTAGTACACAATGCAATTGAATAGAGGAGACGCCCGCCCCAGCCCCGAATGGGACTCCATCTGCTGGTGACGATCCCGCCAAACCCAGTTTCCGTTGTTAGCGTCTTCTGCCTCCTTGTTAGTAGCTCCTTGCACCTCTGTTGATAGTGGACATCTCTTCAGATATGGTCTCTGAACGCTTCAACAGCAACTCGCTATTTCAAATTTCAGCATTGCCGGCATAACATGCGGAAATAAGAGACGAGGTAAAATGACGGCGAAAAATGCGAGATTGCTCCTCATGATAAATGCGAATAGTAATAAGGATAAAGCAAATGAGACACAATGGTTGTTTTAATCTGATTTGTAATTTTAGAGCTTCGAAAGCATGGACCCAACGCGAATACTTGCGCTATGGTTGCCCTCAAGAAAGTAGTGAAAGCTACAGTAGCTAAGAGGAAACGCTTTCTGAAGATTTGGAAGAACCCGTCATCTCAGATGAAGATTTCTATGTTTTTGACGGTTGAAAATTTTTGTCGCACAGTTTGCATGCATATATTTATTGAGAAATGAAGAGTATTTCATTGTTGAAGAACTACAAATTCCAATCTCAATATTTGCAACTCACATGCAAATAAACTGATTGGCCACGTTCAGATATCCCATAGCTATCATTCGGATAATATTCGACTTTCGAATAACATTCGATTATCGAATGATATTCGATATTTGAATATTATTCGATAGTCGAATATTCGAAAATTTCGATTTTCGAAAATTATTCGATATCCGAATATTCGAAAAAAAATTTCGAGTTTCCCAAAGTATACTCAACAGCCACGCGCCAGCTTTGCTCACATGCGTTCCGCTTACGGTCTTTCCGGCAAATTCGTACAGTCGACTTCAACTCTGTAATACACCAGCACAGCAAAGAACCGTGGGTTTGGTATCAGCGAGTCAGATAATCTTAGAAGCAAATGCACGTGTATAACGACCGTTAGGATTCACTTCCACTACAGCCATGTCCCACCGTCCACCTTTAGTATGTAGGCGGACAAGGTAGTTTCGTATACCAAAGAGTTGCCTCGGTAAGCTGATTCAAAAATACTTTTAGTTTAGAAATGTATATGTCTTGAAAAAGAGCCATAGTTGAGAGAGGCAAAATCGTGATCGACAAACCAAGTGTTTTCCATCATAGAAGCGTGCACGACGTTTCTTCAAGTGCGGCAACAACAAATAAACATAAAAGAACAAAAAATAAATGCATTTCGGTCTTAATAACCACAGAAAATCCGAGATAAAGACAACCTTCATCAAGCAATATAATGCACAATGTGACCTTTTGTTTGCGGTGTGAAGTTGGCGACAGTGTGACCACACATTAGTATACACCTTAACCAGTATTGCGATATGGTGATTGCAACCTTCTATGTAGTTAGGGATTCCCGTCTTATCCCTGTGCTTGAAAATTTTGTAGCGCTGAAGTAAGGGCTGGGAACGGTGGAGGACGGAATAGCGCTCCTAGTTGTTGTTGAGTCGGTGGTAATGACGGTTCTATCAGGTCGGTTCTTTCCTCACCACGTATTGGTGATTTATCTTTCTTCTGCCTTCCAGCGTGAGTTGGTGTGGTCTGGAATCAGGTTCACAGTATGGTTTTTGCTTTTGTGACTTTGCAAGACAAACTTATTAAGCACAAAAGAACATCAAAACAATACCTGTGCGTTGGGTGAATAGGAAAAGGGATTAAGGATTTGTTGTTCTAGAAGGGAAGCATAGTCGTTGTGCTTTACAGGTGTTCGTGTTGGCTCAAAAGGCTGATAGAGCGGCAGTGCCATACGCGGATGATCTGCAGACTGTGACTCCACATGGTGTGCCTGCTGAGCAGCGAATAAATGGAATGGACTCGCCATGGTTCCATTTTGCTCCTGCATACCAATATCATTCGAGACTAGCTGAGGTCGTGGCAACTGATGAAGGTGTGGCAGCTGCATGAATGCCGACATCGGAGCAAAAGCATGCGTTTGATCATTCACAGTTGAAGATGATAGTGCAGAGTGACTCGGCTGTGTAATTCCAAAGGCATGCGAAGACATAGAGGCATTGTTCACCATTCTGGGAGTGGAAACGGAGTTGTGGCTATCAAACAGTAAGAGGTGAGGGGATGGAAGGATTGTAGGGAAAGTGTAGGGGGGAAATGTTGGGAATGTAAAAAGCGGTGCAGTCGTTGTCGTGGTAACGGTGTCGGCTTGAAGCATTACCGGTTTGACCTCTTGATCTGAACGATCCTCTTTATCGGAGTAATGCTGTCGCTGCTTCGTATCCATCGTTGGATGGAATATGGGAGCGCCGAAGCTGCCTGGCCGATCGAGATGTTGGACATGTCCGATTCTCCTCAAACAAAGCAAATTCACTCTGACATTGATTTTGAATTCATTCTGGAGATTAACGAAAAAAAAAAGAATTTTTCCCCATCATTTTCGACGACTGTCACCCTTTCTACCTCTCCCCCAAAAGATACTTCCATTGACATGTACAGGGTGTTCCAAAAAAGTGCACACTGTTTGATCTTTAATAACTCGCTTGCCTCGATGTCTTTCGCCGTTCTAGGTAGCATTTTATAGAGCTCATTTCAACTTAGATTTAAAGTGTGGAGCGAAACTCCAATCTCTCTTTGCTAGTGCAGCATTGCGGTGTAAACTTTTACACAGCGGCATTGTGAATTAGGTCGTTAGATAGAAAAATTCCGAAAAAAATCTGGAAATCTGTGTAGCAGAGTTTTTGAACATGTTGATTTTATTAAGCGATTTTGCAAAATTTTGAGCCTTTTCAGAGCTGTTATCACATTTTTGAAGAACATTTTAAGAGCAGTTTTTACTGTTTTCCTGGAATAACTTGTGAAGAAAGCAAGACCGTGCTGTGCAAATGTCATATCTGTAATTAGCATATCTAATTAGCTGACAAGGGAATGGTCAGAAGCCAAAGCGGCCAATCCAAGCAAGCTGCATACTTTTCGATGCAGCATAGAACGCTGATTTCAGATCTGTCTTCCATATCTGCAGAATGCCGTTGTAGGCGAAGTTATGAGCAGCTTTACTGCGAAAACACCGTACACAAAAATTGCAAAATTAGGCACATTATTGCCCTTTTAGCTTACCCCTAGGTAACGGCTATATAAAGTGACCTGGTTGCATGTCTTGATCCAGCAAGTCGACAATGGCTCTGTACAACCAAGTTTGCCTTTTAGGCCTAAGGCATACCTCGCGCGATTCCGGTCGCTGCGCGATTCGCCACAACAGTGACTCTTCGTTATTCGTCGTTGATGCGCTGTCTATGGTCAGAACTTGCTCCGTTTGCAACAACTTATACAAGCTACCCAAATATGCGTCCGAGAAGCGCGCACGATGAATTCGTAGAAATCTGGCAAGTCGCCAAGTCGCGTGAAAGTGACGATTTGGCCGAATCGCGTGAGGTATGCCTTAGGCCTTACGCGCACGATCTCTTAGCAAAATAATGGCCTTCAACGGCTTATAACTTCACACACAAAAGTGTTCTGCATAAGGAAGACAGATTTGAGTCAGCATTTCATGCTAATACTAGGTGGATCCGAAAGTTTTGTCGTTTCATTTTTAAAAATTTGTAACTTCGCGAAGTTCCGACGGATTTACTTGCTTTTAGTTTTGTTGAAAGGAAAAAGTCTTTCACTTCCAACCGCTATTTTGGAGAGCCTCGGCTTCACACTGAATGCAGAGTTAAAAATGGAAAGGTAAGATTATATAAGCTTTGACTATTTTAAATTAGGTCACCAAAAATCTGGAACGCCGCAAAAAAAATCTGAAATCGTCAGTACCTATGTTTTTAGCCTACCCTTTGCAACTGTGAAGAGCTTGTGCTGTTTGAACGTCTCTGTGAGAACTTGTGATTTTCGCGAAAATCGACAAATAAATTAATTTTGGCGTTTTCCATAGTAAACTCGATATTCATAACTTCCCACAGAGACGTCCAAACAGCATAAACTCCTCACAATTGCAAAGAGTAGGCCAAAAAACATGGGCACTACGATTTCAGATTTTTTGCAGCGTTCCAGCGTTTTTGGTGACCTAACTTAAAATGGTTAAAGCTTATATGGTCTTATTTCTCCATTTTTATCTCTGCATTTTGTGCGAAACCAAGGCTGTCCAAAACAGTATTCAAAAGCAAAAGAATTATTCTTTCTAATAAATTTACGAGCAAGCAAGTCTGTCAAAATATCGCGAAGTTACAAATTTTTGAAAATGAAACGACAGAACTTTCGGACCCACTTAATATAATGATATACAGCTTGCTTAGATTTACCACTTCGATTTCTGACCATTCCCTTGTTAGTATGAAAGCTTTTAGCTTGTTTGGTTTTCTTTTCGGGGCGAAAAGCGACTTTTATGGCTTAGAACCCTCTTCAAAGTTCCTGCAGTAATCCTGCAGTAACGAAGAAAGAAAATTAGCTCATACTGTAAATCTAACAAAACGACTCGGTGTCCGTAGCCTTTTGAGATAGATGTACACCCTTACACTCATCTTGGAGCGCTGATTCCAAATCTGATTTCCTTTTTTGCCAATCATTCTTTTGAAAAAGGTAATGAAGGATTTTCAAGCCAAAGAAAATATGGTCGGAATGTCAAAACCCCCGCTACAATGTGGTGTAGGGGCTAGAGGGATATCCTCACAAGTTGATACAGGTTTAGGTTCGAGTCCTTTGTGTTTTTCAGTATCGGATTGCCTCAATTAGGCTTCCTTTCGAAAGTTAGGCATCCTCGGTTGTATTTCTCTTGAGCGACCATTCACTCGAAAATCCTTCATAACTTCTTTTAAAGAAACGATTAAAAACGGAAGTCAGATTTGGTATCAGTGTTCCAGGACGAGTGTGATGGTATACGTTTCATTCCAAAGGACCACCGCAAAAGACATTGAAGTAGGAGAGCTATTAAAGATCGAACAGTGTACACATTTTTCTGAGACACCCTGTATGTCGGTGGTGGGAGAAAAGGGACTGGGGGTGGGGGAAATGGCTCTTCTAGAATGGAGAAGTTAAAGGCCTGGCAAAATTTTTTGACGCTTAGAATTTGCTGGCTTATGACCAATCTTCATTAAAACAAATGGGGTTTACGCCAAGTCTCATACTTTTTCCTTCAACGCTAGTCTGAGTTGATAAGAAGTTCAAAAATCTGAATAAATTAGTCAGTTTAGTCACGCTTGAATGTTGTCGGCAAATATTGGCACTACTGGGGCATTACACTGAGCCAGATTTACCAGCCTTCACAAAAAAAAATCATGTCCCTAATTTTTTTGATCCTGCACGAGATCACTGAGCTTGGAAGAGTATTAGTATAGTATAGCATGTCTGTGAAGTAATCTGGGATGTTTGAGAGGACGTGCAAGTACAGTCTGGTAGGTTTGTAAGTTAATGTTCCATCACGACCCGGCACAGATGGTCTGGGATCAAACTGGACTTCGTTTTAGAAGTTAGAAGCAACGGGGACGCCGTTTTTATAAGGTCCTGCGGAAGGCGAAGAAAAAAACCGACGAACATGTCAGTTTACGAGTTGAACGTGTTCTTTCGCGGGCGCGCAAATCAAATGCATGACTAAAAACAAAGAAACGGCTTGTTTTGCAGTGCACAAACAATCACATGGCTCCGGATTTGGGCTATGTGTATACAATATTACTCCAGACTATGTTATGTAAAAAGTTCCCAAAACTTATGTGTCCTAGTACTCGTTCCTGAATTTGTTGGTTTCTAGACCAACACCAAACTAGCTGGGTTGGTTCGGAGCATAAACATCGGAGAGTTCACATAAGTTTTGGACCTTTTCGATTTGCGCGATTAGAACGATCAAAACCTATCATATAGTGAAAAGAGCGAATCAAACCATTGCCTCTCTTCTTTTTTGAGCCAAAAGTAGTGTCAATCTACGCGTCGATAGGTACCGCGCTCCAATCACTTGCGGTGTCCTTTAAAGGCAGCGTACACCCAAAATTTGAGTTACCGAATTTCCTAGACCTTTCTACACCGTGTATATTCTGGGCCCAGAAGAAGACCAACTGCGTTGGTCCAGTCTCCCAATGTTGCTTCTGAGCGGAGAAAACCCCCCTCAATTTTCTTTCACGCCGCCCCTTTTCTTTCGCTCCGCCTCCTCCGGACGAATCCATAACAGCGTAAGCTGCAATTGCAGTTGCAGTTGCTGTTGCAACATCTGTTACATTTGTTTTGGGTGTACGCTGCCTTTGAACTTTGTGGCGAATGATGCATCGCCAGATTGTTGAGGCCACAAATTTGGTTGGCCTAAGAGGCTTTCGACATTCTGAGCACTTAAATGGTACCGTACAATGACAGAACCTTTAATCAACTCGAAATGTTTTCTTTTTGCTTTTTTGCTGTACTAAATATCTCTAAATGCGCTTTTTTCGCTTCTTCCTTGTTATTTTGACGAATAAGGGTTTCCCTACTGAATTTTACGTCGAGAGGGACTTCGTAAATTTTCGCGAAATCATGGGGGACTTCGTTTTAGAAAATGCTCCAAACCAACGCGTGCCGGGCCCTGTGTTCCATTATACCTGCCGCGAAAACAGTATTTGCCCAAAAACATGCATTGGATTTGTTGGCAACTTGCACTTAAAAAGGCTATGGAGCGTCATTCTTTACAAATGTTGTTGAACGCAAAAACACTGAATGGACTGTCAAATCGACTAGCCCATCATATAAAATATCTCCATGAGTTTCCTTCCCTTTTCACCTCGGAAACAATTCTTTCTTACTGCCCTCACCCTTTGGTGGACATGAATTAGCTTCTTTGAAACTGAAAAAATATGTGCTCGTACCTTCGCTCTTTTCGCTGTCTTTTTCTTGATCCAAATTCCTGCGGCCAGATTTTCTCTTGCTCCGTATGAGCGTGTCCAAGATGACCAAGAGATATGGATCCGTTGTTAGCGTTTTCCAGTATTTGAATTAACTCAAATTCAACATCATCTTCGACTGAAAACTAGGTAGGGGTGTACTCTGTTCTGTAACTCAATGTGAAAAATTAAGACTAATCTTAAAATCGACAAGGAAGCTAAGATCTCACTAAAGTTGATAAGTTACTCGATCTCTTAATGCATATAGCGCCTGTAGGCAAGGCTAGATTCTTTGAATGACTCATTGCAAACAAATAGTAAGATTATCCCTCAAATCATTTCATACTTTCATGATCTCTGAATCATTGGATAGCTCTGAGTTTGTGCGATTGTACCACGATAATGTATCCTTGCGCGTTGCGTTTTGTCCTTCTTTTTAGTCTTCGTTTTTTCGTATTGAAGTTTTTTGCTTTGAGAGTAATAATCTTTCATTGCAACAAATAATCTATTCTGGCAATTACAAGTTTTCTACCTATCAAATTCACGCGGAGATTACCAAAACTTAAAATTTTCTTGTTACTATCTTTCTTTTACACATTCACAAAACGTACTGAAGTTTCTTCCTTCAACCTCATAGCGAAATGCAATGATTGTTATTGAACGATTGTTGATTGTGGCTGTTATTGTCATCAGAGTTAATTGCTATCATCATTCATTTTTTTTATTTGGTCTCCTTCTGCCTCAAAGGCACCACCGAGGCGAGATTTAGAGGCTGTATAATAGCCGCTAAGAAGTAGTATATTCAAATACAGCTGCCAAAGTTTTGCAGCGAGAAACTCCAGGAGGTAGAAGCGGTTAAAGTGGCTTCGCCCATCAGTGCATATAACTAAAGACAATATGTCTGAAACTGGGCTTCAATGTTATTCGGCACAGCTGGAGCCGAGTCAAGCTGGATATCGTTTGTGGAGGAAAGGCAAAGGGGGTATCCTTTTTGCGGGATCCGCAGAGAAGTGCCGCAAACATTCCGGCAGCATGTTCTAAAACCAAACAAAAGCGTGCTACAATTTATGGGAACTTCCCGAAGACAAGCGAATTTGGTAAATTCCCGAGGGTTTCATTCAGTACAGAGGTGAATAGAAGAGCATGAGAATCTCCCGAGAATTTTGATGTCAGGAGCAACACAGTTAGGAACTTCCCGAGGATCTCCTCAGAAAACTCCCCAAAATGCAGAAATTTCTGAGGACTTTAACGCCAGGAAACTTTCTAAGGGTTCGTATTTCGCAATACTGCCACGTTACTCCATGCTGAGTGCCATATGCGATCACAGAAATCCAATCTTTTTATTTTTACTTCGATATCTAATATGCCGTAAATGAGGTGTGAACTCGTTGGACTTTTAATCGTCTTCATCTCTCATATCACTATATAATTTCATGCCATGACTTTGCAGTCCAAGGTGTCCGCAATTGTTTCTCCATGTTCTTTTTCATTGCTACGGCGTCTAGAAATGTTGATTTTGTAGCGTGATTTCTTTCTAGGAGAAGCTGCTATATAGTGCAAAATTCTCAAAAAATATGATGCATGAAAGACCCAATCTAAGATCCCTTCAATTGTATACCATTCGTAATGTTTTTGTACTTACGTTATCATATACATGTAAAAAACTTCTGTTTCCTCTTAGTATTCGTGAGAATTCAGTGGATAAGGCCGTTGCCCGAGTGGGTAGTACAGATGAGATAGTAAATTGCTAAGAAGAAAAAACTTTTCAGCCAATTTGCAGTGCAAATGAACTGTCTTTACAATATATACAGGCCACAAGTCTGTGTTTGATTCTTCAAGCCAAAAAGTTACTCGTGTTTTCGAGCTGCTGTCCCTGCCGCAAATCTCTTCACTTTCTACAGCTCACATTTCGTATGTTCATAGCAATTGCTCGTTTCCCGCCTTATCTGAAATTTGACTCCTAAGTTTTTAGTGAATTATTTGTACTGAATCGTTCCTCATTTACTCTTTAGTGTCATTCCTTTTGCCAAAACATCTGCTATTCTCTAGGAAAATCACTTCTCAGATTGTTGCTATTAGTTGTTCCCTCTCAAGTTTACATACACCTCAAGTTTTTTTGTTAAGTTCCGCGCGAAATTATTAGGTTGTAACAGAATCCATGCAGGTTTTTTACAACCTCTTTTTCAAAGTGTTGGTTTAAAATAAAATCCCATTGCCTTGGGAAACTATGCATACCTTCTGACAGCACTCTTCTTCTAGTTTCTTATGCATGCTTTCGTTTCAGGAGGACTGGGTTTATTTCGAAATCACGTGCTTTTGAGATCAAGAAACTAAACCTTGGAATTTTTTCTTCCACTCTCTGCTTTAAAGCCACCGCGAAAATCGGTATTTGTGCAAACTGGCGTATTTATTATGTGATCGGTGCTACAAAATGCATATTGAAGCAAATTTTTGAAAAGTTTACAGATTGAGAAATTTTATTTCAAATTCAAAGAACCGCTGCTATCATTCTGCGGCGTATAAAAATCGTAATTGCGAAGCAGTTGCGGAGCTTTTGTCGTGTGAAAAAAGAATAGAAATAGGAAACTTGATAGCAAAAAACCGGGAGCTGTGTTTCTTTTCGGCGGCGAGAAAATTTTAAAAACAGCAAAAAAAAGCACCTTTTCGTCCTTTCAGAGCACTTGTGAAGAATGAGTGATAACAAATTTTTGCAACATTTTTTAGCAAATTTTTTTCGTGAAAATCAACTTTAACGCTGCTGCACAACCGACTATTGTCTACACAGCGAATGAAGTTTGTACCATTCTACTACATTGTATAGTTATAGCCTCTCAAGCTGAAGGTTTTTAAGAAAACTTTTGACAGTCTTCAAGCTATAAAATTTTTCTCAGTGAAGCTACAATAACAACGATATGGTAGTGCGTATTAAATTGCCAAAGGTTTGTTGATTGCAGTAATTTTTATTGGAAACGGATTGGCTATTTCTGCAGAAAATTATAGTAATCCAAACTCAAAATTTGGAAAACCTGCGTTAAGTTTGTTACAACCTAGTAGCACGAAGTATTCTTGAGTAAATTATGTCAATCCTTTTAATAATTACTCTTAAAAGCCATGGCTCTAAACTTACACTCCTAGAAAAAACAGCGTTCCACTTTCGTTGTAAACTCGAGTCTAGCACTCGTGTCTTTGCCACACGAGGTGTTTCTAGAAAGAGTTCACAGCTTTCCTCCCACTTTTCTTGCAAAAAGTTTCCGAATTCCTTTTTATTTTTTTAAAATGCGGATCTTTAGCTTGTCTTACTCTTTAAAACATCTTCGTCAAGTTTGATTAGCAGAATACAATCTGATTTCGATGGACATTTCTTTTGAACTGTTCTTCTACTTTTGGCAGCTTACATTAATTTGATTCTCGAAAACTTATCTAAAAACATCAAAAGATTTGACACAAATCGTTTTACAATGCATTGCGAGTTCTCATCTTTTTTCCAAAATCATTTCTAATCTATAGCATATTTGCTGAGAGTGTTTGCAAATCGGTACGATTCTGCATTGACTAACTTGCAATGGAGATTTTTGGAGAATGATGTTGTAGAGAGAGTACTATTGCAAATTTTTGAGCAGTGCTCAAATTTACTGTTTCTTGGAAGGTCTTGATTGTAGAGCTGGCTACGTCGTAGTGCCAGTCAGTTTTGTGTCTAAAGATAAAGAAAAGAAAGCGGAGATGGAAAAGTAATCCAGTAGCTTGGCTTGATGTCATGATCAGGGCACGGCTTCGCTGTAAACAAACGAAGGGGTTGTTTATAGCGAAGTGAAAACGAAACGACACCAAATTTGTGTGTAATGGGCAATGGGGATTTAGAATTATGTATGAAAAATTATGAAAAAAATTATGTGAATTGAAGGCGATTTTATTTGGAGTTTTGGCTTTCAAGCCACGTGGAAGCCACCTGAGGTGGCTTGGGCAAAAAGTCGAATTTTCCCTCCCCACATGATTTTTTTTACCTGCTTTACCAAATTTCATCTGCATCCCAAACCCTACAAATTGGTTTTTAAACCGCCTCAAACTCCCTCCTCCCCACTAAAATACAACCCCTAAAAATTTTGAATGGTGGCGCCTAGTGCTGCGCGTTGGATACATCATGCCGCCAATCCAAAGGATATCGTTTGTTTGGTGCTTTTTGGCATTTCTTTGTTTTGTTTTGTTCTGTTCCCTTATATATGTTTCCCCTTCTAATACCCCATGGCAGATGTCGAACTTTCATTTGAATTCAAAGGGGACTTCGTTTTTTGCAATTTCGAAAAGCCGACTCATGCCGAGCCCTGGTCATGATAAATGCTATAAGCAGAACAAAAGATCCAAGTTAGGGCAAACATCATACCAACGTAGATTGTCTGTAGCATAAAGGAGGGGGGGGGGGGAGAGAAAGTCATGATACTGATAAACAGCGCGGAAACTGAATGTCATAAAAAAAAGAAAGAGATCTGGACATTTAAAGGCAGTGTCCGGGCAAAAACTCGATTTTGAGATTTGGTGCTTATACGGGCCTATTCGCCATGCAGAATCCGAAAATCCACATTGAGAAGCGCGAAAACGGCGAAAAAGGGCTCTAACACAGGAGGGAAATCAGCAGGTGGGCGCGGCTTTCCCCAGTGCGATTTCACGCTCCCAGCTCCCGGAGCGATTTTCTCGATTCCGCTAGCCGTCCTAACATCGCTACCGGCCAACTGCGAATGACTGACTTGAAACCGGAAGCGAGAAGGTCGCTCCGGAAGCCGGGAACGTGAATTCGCAGTGGGGAGGATCCCGCCCACCTGCTGATTTCCCTCCTATGTTAGAGCCGTTTTTCGCCATTTTCGCGCTCTACAATGTGCATTTTCGGATTCAGCGTAGCGAATAGGCCCGCACAAAATTTCAAAATCGAGCTTTTGCCCGGACACTGCCTTTGAAAGAGAAAGAGGATTAGTTATCACGTTTTTGTACAGCTGTACAGAGCCCATCTAAAGCTCTGGGAAGTTCTACAATTGAGTTTTTGGGAAGTCCCATTTCTGGCGAACTATTTACGATTTACGATTTATCCTCTAAAATTCCCGAGGGCTTCACGGGAACTTTCCCAGGTGACCCGGGAAAAGTTCCGCGACA